CAACCTAGGAAGAAAAGTCTGATGCTATATTTCAAAAAATTAGCCAGTGAAAACTTTAAGGATAATCTTTGATTATAAAGATGGTGGAGGAACTGGCAATTATTTTTGCCCCCCCCCCCAATAGTTTTATTGATTTTAAATTCATATATCATATGCTTCCATAGCTATGTTGCTTTAAAAAAGAGTTGTATGAATTGATGTATGGATTGTTATAAGAGCTGTAAGAGCCCCTAATAAGATGATTTTTAAAAAGAGTTGTATATACATCATCACAATCAGCTTTAGTGCACTCTCCCCGCTCCTATGTGCTCAACCTCCCCCACTCATCTCCGATAAGCTGTTACATCAGTCATTGTCTCTATGCATCTGCTTTTTCTATGCTTTATAAACTGGGATAATTAAAATTAAAAACAGAAACTGGGAAGATTAAAATTAAAAAAACAAATTAAAACAAAACAGAAAGAATGGAGGGTGAGGGTTGCAGAGAGCAAAAGACCAATGGCAATGTTAAATAAGCCAAAGAGAAATTTTCTGTCTTGGAACAAGTGAGAAATGTTCAAACCTAGAGCAAATTCAGAATGGGTCAAGAAGGAGGTCAACTGACCAGGTATGATGTTATGCTATAGTCCCCTCCAGGATATTCAGGTTTACAATCACCTCTGTCTGATATTAAAGTTGTCGGTGTTCCTTGGCTGGTGTCGGAGGGGATCCGCCAGAGGCTTGCTCCCAATAGCCCTCTGCAGATTGATTTTGGACTCCCACTGTCTGTGTTAGTCTGGGTACTTTAGAGAAACAAATCCACAGAAACTCATGTATAAGAGAGAGCTTTATATAAAGGGTAAGTGCACATCAAGAAAACATCCCAACCCAGTGCTGCCCAAGCCCACAAGTCCAACATTAACCCATATGTCCGACACCAATCCACAAAGTCCTCTTCCATCTCACAAAACACATGCAATGATGCCGACTGCAGGAGGAAAGCCGAGTCAGTGAATGTGTAAGCATCTCAGCGCTGGTAGGGGTCTCCACACGGGTGCTCCAGCACCCAGGGCTGCATCGGGGTAGGTCCATGTGGCTTCTCCTCAGGGATGTCTTGCAGGAAGTGAGCCTTGCCAGCTGAAGCAGGGAACTGGCTAAGGCAGCTGCACCCTGGTGCGACCATCAGAAAGCAAGAGACCCGAGAACTTGAAAGGCGAGGCTCTCCGCCCTTCAATTAACCCCACATGTGTTTATCGTCCAGGTTGGCAATAAACTAACCACCTCACTGTCCTCTACAGCTTTCTATAAATTGGGTGTTCCCATTTTAAACTCTGATACCTTTCCCTTCATCATATTTGGACTTTGTTATTTGTCATTTTTGGATCACAGAGGATGGCATGCTTCTACCCTGTAGGCTTAGTTGATGCCTCTCTAAGAAGGCTGCTTGTTTGGATACAAGCCTTGAAGACCTCAGACACTATTCCAACTGGTAGACAGGCACCAACTGCTTTATTTCCTTTCTCATTTTTTTTTTGCTGGGAATCTGATAGAAGGACATAAAGATAGTAAATATATGGTTGTTCTGGGTCCCCTTTGTGTAAATGCCAGCTAAGTCAGGGATCATCTCCCAGAGGCCACACTAGAAGAACTCAAGGTGGAAACCACACTGAATGAACTGAGCCCTGGGGCTTAGACGGAAATTCTCTGATGAGAGAAGAAACAGATGACAGTCACTCCAAGACTGTGGAGCTGGCGCTTGTGGGAACCGGCAGTGCTTTGTTCGGTATAAGGATGGCATGAGTGGAAGTATTTCCTCTTCCTCATTACTTCGTTTCTGGGGAAGAGCTTGTATAGGATTGGTATCCAGTCATTTGGTGTGTCCATGGAGTAATGTTAGACGGCAGGAACGGATCCATCTTTTCCCTCTCTCCCAAGCATGGGAAACTGACCCAGCTGAGGTGAGGCCTCCTCTGGTGAAACGGTCTTTAAGATGAACAAAGAAGACAGTGGTGTCTGGCACCTGGTTCATGAGATCTAGGCAGACACTTTACATGGTTATCTGGAAACTGGAATAGCAGACAAGATAACTTGAGAATGGAAGCCTGTTTACTTTTATAACAGCGGTATCGTACGATTATTTGTCCTTTTGTGATGGGCTAATTTCACTTAGCATAATGGTTTCCAGGACAACCTGCTTTGTAGGGATGCACAGCATGCCATTGTGCGTGCCAGTGCCAGAGGGTCTTTATCCGTTTTCCTGCCGATGGGCATTTGTACTATTTCCAGCTTCTTGCTGTTGTCAACTGTACCGCAGTGAACCTGGGAAAGCATACATCTGTCCGTGTTCTTTCCTTGTTTCTTTGGAGTGTATGCCCAGTAGGGTGTTGCAGGGTCAGATGGGATTTCTTTTTTTTTTTTTTTAACATTTTATTAGGGGCTCATACAACTGTTATCCCAATCCATACACACATCAATTGTGTAAAGCGCATTTGTACAT